GAGAACCTCCTAGCCCCTGGCCACAGTGATGGTCCAGCACCTGCCCATCCCAAACCCAGGAGAACCTCCTAGCCCCTGGCCACAGTGACGGCCCTGGCTCTTTCCTCTGTCCTATGCTTACTTTGTGCCTTTCCGTCTTCCAGTCCCCAGAGAAGTATTTACTGAGTTTTCGCTTCAAATCCAGGAATACATACTCATTGTCTAGAAAAGAGAAGTCCAGGGCAGAGAAGACACTCTCATTCTTCCCGGGAATCCCACTGGGCAAGAGCCGAGCCCAGCTGGAGCAAGTCCGTCTGTTGACGTAGAGCTTTGCACCCAGCTGGACTGACGCAGCTGCCTCAGAGGTTGAGCACAAGACATGACCGTCTCAGACTGTGGCTATGGCGAGCATCTTCCCAGGGCACAGGCCGGTTCTCACTGTGGGGAGAGCATGCTGACCATGTCTGCAGACCTAATCTGCAGGGCTTCCTGTGACCTGTCACCGAAACTGACCAGTGTCAGTGACCCATGCCACCCTTGCTAGCGGGGCTGCTCTGAGAAGGGGGTTCCTGGAGATGCTTTTTGCTAAAGCAAGCTTTCCTATGCTTCTGGAGAAGACCGTGGTCCCTTTCCTGTCTAAGCTGGAAAAGCATAAACAGGTGCCCTAGAGAAGAATGTAGAGCCCCGGGGGCCTCCCTCTGTCATTCTCACAGACTTGGTACCCAGAACTGAGGTGACTGTCCCTAGAGAGGGACAGAAGTAGGTGCCCTGGCATTGTGGATCTGGTGAGGGATGCATGGTCAGGTCCAGAGTCACAGTTTTCCATTATCAAGCTAGCCACATTTGGTGGTCATCCACTACCACATCCCAGCTCAGCGGTTGCCTGGCGACACCTGGCTGGGGCTGGTAGAGCCAAAGGTCAGCAGGACACCTGATCCGTGGTCCTGGCACTGGGGACAACAGCTACCCACATCGACAGGAGGCTGGGGGATTAGAAAATGTATAGACAGCAACCACAGGGCAAGACAAAAGAGAGCGCCCACCCTGGAAAGCTGCCTTTCAGAACAAGGGGACTACCAGTTTTTGCCCAGCCAGCCTTTCCCACATCCAGAAAGTCAGAGTTCTGAATGAATTCTCAGACTCACCAGCAATCAGCACTGTTCCTGCTGTGGGACTAACCCTGTGACACCCCCCGCCCCCCGCCCCGCCCCGGGGCCTCAGTGGGTCTGGTCGGAGATGAGGCTTCATGAAGGAGACAAGCTGTAGGGAATCCAAAGGATAAGCACCCTTCCAAACTTGGACTCAGACAGGGAAAGACAGACACAGAGACAATGGGGAGGCGCAGAGAGGAGGCTGCCACAGGCCACAGAGAGGCCACAAAGGATCCGGCTGTTATCACCTTAACTTCAGACTTCCAGTTCCTAAGACCTCGGGTCACAAACGTATGTGGTGCACCAATTAGAACAGTGTTCATCCACTGCCTGGGGGCTCTCCGGAAGTGTTAGGCCTGACTCCATGCCTTTCCCGTGTCCTCAGGGTCCAGCCACTCTAGCTCCAAGGCCCTGTGCCCCAACACAAACTGTCCACACCTTGGGCTTTGATAGGACCCAGGACTCTGACCAGATAACTTTCTTATCTGGTCTGCCTGACCTTCCTGTGTTCAAGAAGCAAACTCCCCGGTGTGAAGGGGTTCTCCGTCGGGCAGGAGAATGTGCTGGAAGATGAGTCAGGGTTGAGAAGGAAGGAGCTATCCACCAGGAAAAGACACTGGATGTCACTAGGAGGCAGAGGCTGGCTGGCTGCACACTGTACGGTGTGGACTACCAACCTGGAAAAGAGGCAGAAAATGGACCCGAGCTTCCAGGGTGGGGAGAGGGATGGGGAGACAGAGCCCAGGAGCTTGTACCGTGACTCTGCCAGGCGGTACTGTGGGTTTTCTCAATCCCAGGAGCGAGCCTCATGTCAACCATGGACTCTAGGTGACATTGCTGGGTCCCTGTAAGCTCAGGGACTGTGAAAAAAATCTCCTGTCTTCTAGAGGATGTGCTTAGGGTAAGTGGAGGAACATGGGGTATTTTATACTTTCTGTTCAGTTTTGCTATGAAGCTAAAGGTTTTCTAAAAAACAGAGTCCTAGGGCTGGGGATGTAGCGTCTTTGTGGTAGAGTGCTCGCCTCTCTTACATAAGGCCCTCAGTTCAAACTCTGGAACTGCCAAAATACAATCTTGTCTGCCTCCACGTGGCTTGAGCAATGTGGACAGTGGTCCCCAGGGGGACTCTGGCCCAGAGGTCCATGATTCAGCGAAGGAAAGGCCTGCAGCTTCCTCCCACTCCCAATATCCCAGCATCAGGAGAGGATCAATCTCTTTAAATCAGAGCCGGTTGCTGGGGCAGCCCCATGAGGTCATTGGGATTCTACATATCCCAGGCAAGCAGGGTCTGCTACACACCCAGGGCTGCATCCCTGTGGGAGAACTGTTTCTCTTGCAGGTCCCTTGGACATGGCAGGCTGAGTACAGGCTCTATGTACAGCCTGACCCAGGAATGTGGCCACATTCCAGATTTAATAAAATGTCTACCTGGCTGCTTGCTGTGACCTGGGGCCCCTGTGGAGGGGAAAGGGCTGGGCCCTGTAGCCAGCAGCTCCCCCAAGGCAAGGGCTGACCCTGCTGTCAACATCACCCTGCAGCCCAGACAGAAACCGGGAGGCATCATCACCCTTGACAGCCGCCCTCCTGGGTCGAGGCACTGTGGGGCCCTCCATAGAACTCCAGGAGGCCACGTGAACTCCTTAGCATGCTTAGGTCCTGAAATGAGGAGCCTGGGATGGGCAGGCTGAGAAAGAGAAAGTATCCGGCGGGCCAGGGAAGAGGAGATGAGCAGGAGGGTGGTGGGAGTAGACACTAGGGGTGGGCAGATGGAGACCTCATCCATGCAGGGAGGTTGCCTGGCTACAGACCTGTGGAATTTTTATCCCGAGAAGATGCCCCCAGACTAGCCTCAGGTGCAGTAAGAGAAATCCTGGTAGCAACACTAGGGGAGACAGAGCCTCCTGAGACCAGCACGTGTCTCAGGATCAACACTGACATTGAAATCCACTCCACACAGGAATGGTAGTTAGTGTGCTGAGCATGGGTGTGTCTATGTGGTTAGGCCACCTGCCAGATAGCCCTCCCTAGTTGGATAGATTTCATCCCGGCTCCCAAAGACTTAGAGACCCTAGGCAGGCCCACAACTTTTGGGCTCTAGCTGCAGCATTGGTATCCTGCCTGTCGACTCCAGACTTGATGGTCTCAGTCTCCTGAGCTCCATCACCTCCCTCTGACCCCCCTCACCTCATATAAACAAATGTTTCTTCTGACTGTATCTCTGTAGGACCCTGTGCAAACACAGACTTATCTTCACGAGGGGTGTATCGCTATAGAAAAGAGAAGGAACCAGCTGTATTCCCTGGTTCCAACTGCAGGTTCCCCCAAGCCAAATGGGGTAATATCCACCCCAGAAGCCTTCCCGATCTCGCCGCAGTGAGAATCACCCTCTTAGCCTGAGGCATGTGTACCTGGGCACAAAGCAAAGGCCTGTTGACTGGGTAAAGTGTCCAGGTCTCCTCCCTTCTCCTCTTAACCTTGATACTTAGTATGAAGGGAAAGACTGCTCAAAGCCAGTTCCAAGTGGATGGAGAAGCCAGACATAAGCCTGTCTTCAGAAGTTCCAAGGAGAACGGCACAACTCTGTCTTTCTCTTCTTACTCTGCCCCAAGCCCTTGCAAGTAGAGGGCTCACACCTTCCTTGTGTGTTTTTTTTCTCCCCTGAGGCATCTCACCACGAATTCCAGGATGCCAGAATCTCATGATCCTCCTGCCCTGGGCCCCAGGTCCTGGGATCACATGCCTCACCACCATGCCTAGTCACCTAGTCACCCTTTGCTGTTTGCTCCATATCTCAGTCTCAAATGTGTGCCCAAGTTATAGACCATGAAATAACTAAAGCAAGGAATCCTAGGTCATGCTAATAAGAGCCCAAGTCTCCACAGCAAGGGCTCTGGGGACATGTTAGAAGGGCGTCTATCAGTTCAGAACTTGACTGGAAGGAGCGGCATGTTCAGCTCAGCTGGCAGCCTTCTGCTCCCTTCAGGTCCCCAAGTGAGCCCAGAGCATGTCACCCTTGTTCAGAGAGAATCCTTAGTTCAGCTCAGAGGAAGGGAACCACAAGTTCTCTCCTTGCCCATGTCCTGACACTTGTTCCCTGAGTTGGTGACACATCTGGCATGGGTGGGGATGGATGGTAAGGCTGGTTGGCAGGAGTTGAACCCCTCCCATGAGGCATGTTCCCTGCTGGGGGAAGGCACAGTCTGAGGGAACATTCACTCCCAGCCCCAGCAAGCCTCACTGTGTGCCCCCTGGCTTCCTCAGCTGGGGCTACTCCACCTTGCAGGCCCTTCCAGGTCCCTCAACTAGAATAGACCTGGACTTACAACCCATGGCCCCTTACAACCCATGGCCCCTGCGACTGCTCCCTGATTACCCAAGTCCATTTTCTAGGTGTGGCTGCCCAGCTGTCAAAGTCCTAATGTGTGGACAGCCCCTGGTAATGACGTTGAACCTCAGCTAAGAAGACAAAGGTCACAGAACACATGCACTGGTCTCGGTCCTACCATGGGGCTTTGGCCTTGCACACTAGATACCAGTTCCCTGTAGTAACTTGGCATCACGTGATCCCAGCCTAATAAACCATGGTTTTGAAGTGTATCTCCAGGGAAACTAAATTCTGGGGTTCTCAGGGAGACATGCCCCACCTCTCCCCGGCAGTGCCCCACTGACTAGCACAGGGCTACCCACTGCAGTTGCTGGAGTCTCCTTCTGTGGGGACTCTACCCAGCACTCCCTAGGGCTTCACCCTCATCCCCTTCACCATTCCACCTGCTGTTCTAGGCTCTTCGGGACCCAAGAGAACCAGGCCTCGGGGACCTGCAGGCAGGACATAGGACAAGTCCCAGCTGTCTTCTCTAGAGCAGCACCCTGGAAAGACCTTTAGACCAAGGATCATCTCCCCTAAGAGGAGCTTCACAGCCAGTGGCCGTCACATCCCATGGGAAAGGGAGCTTGGCGACTTTTCTGCACCAATAAAAATAGCAGTGTCGCCGGGCGGTGGTGGCACATGCCTTTAATCCCAGCACTCGGGAGGCAGAGGCAGGCGGATCTCTGTGAGTTCAAGGCCAGCCTGGTCTACAAAGCGAGTTCCAGGAAAGATGCAAAGCTACACAGAGAAACCCTGTCTGGGAAAAAAAGAAAAAGGAAAAAAAGCAGTGTCAGTGCAGAGACTGGAATACAGAGAACAGGACCCAGCAGGCAGATCTGCATAGAGCTGCTTCCACAGAGAGTGTGATGTAGTCGGGGGATGCCGCCCCCGCTCAGACACGCCGCTTCCATACTGCCCTCCATGGCCAGCTCCTGGCCAGGCCTGCCCAAGCTCCCCACGTCCCCCTGCCCCTTCTCTGCTGGGTTGGAGCTCCGTGGTCTCCTGTCCAACTCGGTTCTTACATTCATGAGCATGTGAGTGTACAGGTGGGCAGGGTGAACACATGCGTAAGCGTGAGTGAGTGTGCCTGTGTGTTGATGTATGGACATGCATTATGTGCATAATCATACACATACATTCAGCAGGCAAGTATGGGTATGTGTGTTTGAATGTGTATGGTGACTGCGTGTGAATGAACGTGTGAGGGAGTACGTGGTTGAACTGTATGTGTGTGAGAAGATGTGGCATGTGGTGTGCATATATGCGTGGTGGGTGCTTGTGTTATGTGTGTGGTCTATATTTATGTGCACATTTGTGATGCGTGAGTTTGTGTGTGTGTGTGTGCGTGTGTGTGTGTATACACATATGCTCTATACTTGTGTGAGTGGTGTCTATGTACAAGTATTTACAAGTACATAATCTGGACATGATGGCCCAGTTGCCTGTTAGCCTTATTGGTGGATCTGTGGGCAGGGTCTGTGGCAAGGCAGAAACACCCGAATTCCAAGGGTCCCCCTCTCTTGCCCCTGGGCAGCCTGTGCTGGGGTTGCCAAGCAATGCTTACTTCTGATTATGCTGAGGCCAAAAAAGTGGGCTTCTCGAATGTGTGCCATATCACACACCGTCTGGAAGAGCTCCTGTCCTGTGGCTGTGACCTGGAATAGAGGAAGGGCTTAAGTCACACGCAGAACTTCCCCGTAAGACTCCTGGATGGCAGGGATACTGGGTCAGAGGGGAGTAGTGTCATCTGCTCAGGCAGGGGATGGAGGCAGGGACCATGGCCTGGGCCCCTCAGTTGTTTCCAAAGCGCAAATTTAAACATTGATCCCCAGAAGAACAGCCTCGGGAGTGGACCTTGTCGTAGCATTTGCTGGCTTCCAGGTAGAGGTGAGGGCCCTTCATGCAGCTAGCACACCCCTGTCCCTGGGGGCTGAAGAGGGATGGCCTGGATCGCAGGGTGGTGGCACACGCCTTTAATCCCAGCACTCGGGAGGCAGAGCCAGGCGGATCTCTGTGAGTTCGAGGCCAGCCTGGGCTACCAAGTGAGTTCCAGGACAGGTGCAAAGCTACGCAGAGAAACCCTGTCTCGAACCACCCCCCCAAAAAAAAAGAGTGAAGGAAAGCTAGGTAAAAAACCACGTGGCCTAGGGAGGAGGGTGTGCCCGTGAGAGCTGCATCCTTCCTGACGGTGGAGATGACTCAGAGAGCAGACTCAAGAATGCAGCAGCTAGAGATCTGTCAGAGTGTGGCAGGGACAAAGGGCAAGAGGATGGAAAGTCACGCACAGAACCCTCTGGGACCACCATGTTCTCTCATATGTGGTCACCATCCTGGAGAATGGGAGACACAGGGTACTTAGAGGTCGGGCGGGTCCCACATAATAAACTCAGCCTGCGGAAGCTCCAGACACCATGAGGGACCGGGAAGCCCGTGACACTGGATACGGAGTGGGTACCAAGCAGCCCAGCACCCTGTTAGATGTTAGACTCCAGGTGAATGGTCAGGTTGGTGCTTACTATGCTACAGTGGGTACTTCGTCGTGAAGTGGAGGTCCCATGCACTCTTGTACCTGGAGCTTCTGATACACGCCCCTGTTATCACTGTTCCCTCTAGACACACAGCCTCTGTGGTCCACCCCCACCACCCTCTGGACACATGGCTCCTGCTGTCCCCCAGGACCCATGCATGGCTCCTGCTCTGCCCGCTTGTCCTGCCCTTCCCTCTGGATGCAGAATCCCCCGCTGCTTCTCCGCTTACCTCCACTGACAGCCGCAGTTGTTCCCAGGTGGGCAGTATCACTAGGATGTCCCTGAGCTCTGAGCTCATCTCAGAGTCTCAGGTATTGGTTCCCGTGGGGGAAGTACACAAGGGCTCTCTCAGAACCAGGCTTTGTCCACTGCTTCCCGCAGAAGACAGTGAGCTAGGGACGGGACGGTCCTGAGCCTCCCACTCGCTGGCACCGGTATGCCAGTTCTCCCATGTCCTGCCCGGTCATCAGTGCAGGGGGGCGTTGTCAACTCCCGTATGCAGCTGCACTGTCTCTGTCCAGACACCGTCTGGGAAAGACCGGGAACCCAGTGGCTGAGCAGGGACAAAGGTCAGGGCTGTCATTCTGGGTGTGTGGAGGCTGCAGGAATGCAGAGAAGCAATGGCACCACTCTCAGGCAGGATGCAAGGCCAGGAGTACTGTGTGCCCCGCAGGAGGTGATGGTGCCCTGACTCCCATGAGATGCCCCTTCAGCTCCTCAGAGCATGGGCAGGACCCTACACAGGCCAGAACCATAGCATCCTTTTCCTCGGCAGCAAATGGTTAAGGCCAAGAAGCAGGCCATGCAGCTCACAGTGAATGGACACTAGGAAGCCACAGCTTGTGTGACTGAGCAAGACATCTGCCACCAGCCAGGAGGAGCAAGCACCTGGGAATACTAAGGATCAGCACTCAGCAGGGGGAGGTCATTCAGGTATAGAGGTCTTTCCTGTCCTGCTTGGGGACAGCATTAGAGAAGTCCTGCTTCAGAATCCAAGAGAAATAGTTTGACACACAGCAGGCTCTGAACAGGCAGGGTCCAGGGCCAGGAACTCAGAGTCTAGCTGGGAGAGCCTGGCACAGCTCCAGGGTAGCTCGGACCCTGCTGCCAACCCTCTCCACCCAGGCTGAGGACTTACTCCCTGCTACACCATGGATGCTTGTGGCCAGCTCTCTTCCCCATCAGGCAAAGTCAGTGTCCATCACACTGAGATAACGGACAACATCCCCCAGAACACAGATCCAGGCTCTCAACACTATACCACTATTCCACTGTGTTCCCAGAACCTGTTCCCTGTCTGAACAGGAGTCACCCCGAAGGCAGGCATCAGTTCCAATACAGCAGCGAAGTATGGCTGGCTACTCTTCCAACTGTGTCTGCAGCCAGGAGGGGACCATCGGCAGCACCTCCACCATGTGCAGCACCCAGGGGTGCCCGGATGGGTGTGTGACTGCCCGTGGAGGGGGCTGAGGTAGGCAGGCTCAGCTTGGAGTTACACACGCCATGTGAGACGGTGGTAAAACCCCTAAACTTACTAAGATTTGTGAAATTGTTTGTTTTAAAGGAGAGCAATGTTACAACATGTAAATTATACCTCATAAATTGATCGAAACACAAGATAAGCTATAAAACAGGAGACTAACATAGCCTAACCCCACATGCACCTTTGGGCCTGCATGCACATGTGCCCGGAGCGAGCACACACTAACTGGGAATGTACGTACCTACACACTGGTCCTCTCTAGCCTCTTGGTAGGAGGCCCTGAAGAGCTCAGGCAGGTTCACCCAGTAGAAAAAGTGGCTCCCATGAGGGGCCCGAACATACTCGTCCAAGGGAAGAGCATCCGTAGGGGTCATTCTGTGTCAATGCCACGGTGCGTGCGTTTCATCTCCCTCTCACCCCTCAGCTGTAGTCACATCACAGAGCCTGACGCCCAGGGGAGGGGGGCTTCCTCAGACTCAAGCCTGCTGTCCCCCAAGCATGGGCTACCCTTCTCTTCCTAAATGCCTTTAGTGGTAGGTGCTGGGTCAAGACATAGACTGACTGGGTTTGGGATGGCTCATGAGGTCTGTGGGACGGGAGTATGGAATGAGTTGACGTGTGTGGGACACAGCGCAGGGCACCCGTGGGTGGCATGGAAGTCTCTGGAGATCCTGCCCCATTGCCTCTATGGTCGCTCCCCTAGAGATTATGCTACTGGGCCATGCTCTCTAGCAGGGGCCAGAGGTGTTTGGAGCAGCAACCTTTCAAAGTTCTATCCAGGAGTGCCATGCATCACCCTAGCTACTTTTGACCTGCCCATCAAAACGCAGGTACAGAGGGCCAGCTGAGGGGCAGGAGTGCCAGCGTCTGGACAGGCTCTGCATGTTCCTTAGCTTCCTGTGTCTCCATGGGAAGCTCCTTCCCTCCATGCCCAGTGCACTCTGATAGTCCCACCAATCCTTCAAGTGATGGAGAAAGACCCCGTGCAGGGAAAGCCCTGGCTCAGAGCCGGGGCAGGAAAGGTCAGGTCTACTCTGTTACTGGGCTCGGGACAGCTTGAGCCCTGGAGCCTGCAATGCCACCTCCTGTCACTGTTGCCAGATCTCCTGGTTTGGGCACAAAGGACTCTGGCATGCACCAGGTCAGTTCTGTGTACCATTCCCCAATGTGGCCGGCTTCCTAACCACTTGTAAAGAAGCCAGAGCTGGGGAATAATGCGGGGTGGGAAGCATGGAGCAGTTCATTCCAGCTTGGCCATGGGGGTGGGGGTGGGGGTGGGGGCGGCGACGACGTGCCCTCCCTGAGTGCCCTCCTCAGCTCCGGACTTGACTCTGTCAGCTCAGAGAGCAGATTCTGAGCTTTCTCCGTATCCAGTTACGAGTGTAAACATTGCTTGCCTTGAGCCACCGAGCGCCCCGAACAGAAGGAATAACACACTGTGAGCCAGCCCCTCTTATGGCTGCTTGACTCCGATGGCCCCAGGGGAGAGCTGCAGGAGCTTGCAGACAGACAGACAGACCTCTCTGAGGGACCCCACATTTGCCGCCTGCAAGGCACATGCTTCCAACTCTGTCAAACCTGTGTTTTCAGACAAGGTAAGTTATGTAGTGTGGCCGTCGACCATTCTTTCAAATACACACACTGCCTAAACAGATACCCACCTGTCCACGGTGTCCACTTACAGAAGGCTGCCTGCTATTCCCTCTGCTCTTCATCCTGGGGATTTGGGGTTATAGTTTAGGAGGAAGGTATATTTTATACAGTAAACACATTTGGGGTCAAGGCTGGCTGGCTCCAGGGTTGGAGGGTAGGGGGGTTTCCAGCCTAAAGGCTGGTGCTGTTGGGGACTTGAGGTGGGCTCCTTTGCCTGGCAGAAGATGCTGGGGTCTCTGGGTCTTATGCATTTATCCCTCAGCTGTAGACATGAGGGACTCAGTTTGGGCCCCCGTACCGAGACACAGTCATTTTTGAGCCCTGATGTTGCTTTTAGAAAAATTCTTTCTGTGTCACACATTCAGGTTCCTCCTGATGACTACTTAGGCAGTTAGGCATTAGATGACTAATCTTCTGGAGGCCAGTTGAGTGTTTGGCATGGGTATATTAGCAGGTATACCAGGTATACTGACTGGCATCAGCTATGCTGGGCAGACTTCTGCTCATGAGTTGTGACGATGTCCCTAAGCCTCCCTCCAGGGAGAGAGGATGTCTTTAGGGAAAAGCAGTTCAGGATCATTGGAAGCAGCTTAGCCTCCCAGAAGAGTCTGAAGCCCTTGGCAGAGATGCAAGAGGCCAGTGGCAGGAGACACACACCACGGGGGGCTACAGTCATGTTGGTCTTTAGCCAGTCACCCTCATGAGAGTCCTCTGGGTTCTCTGCTCTCCCTCCCCAGCCTGGATAAGCACATTCTGCTGTTTACTTTCCAAGCACATCCCACACCCCCCAGCATGCACTTGGCCTCTCATTACATCACGTTAACACACAATTTAATTATGTACTTGTCTTCCCCCTTGTTCAGCACCGAGAGCCTCACAGCTGGGAGATGTTCTGCAGTGCCAACCCCATCTCTTGAGTATGGCGTTCACCTTAACTCATTGTACACTGGTGTGCACTCAGCACTGTGGGAGCCCAGCCCGGCAGCAGGCAGAAATGCTCTACATTGAGGGACTTAATCCTGGGCCACTATAAATCGTGCCATTAGATTGTTTGGGCATTTCTACCTCTTAAAATAATCCCACCTATGATCTCAGGTGATCTGTCCAAGTAAAACCTGACAAGCAGGTGTGGTAGTGCGTGCCTAGCACCCTGGCTCTTTGGAAGCAGATGCAAGAAGATTGTAAGTTCAAAAGTCAGCCTGAGCAACAGTGTGAGACCCTGCACCCCACTAGAGAGAGAGAGAGAGAGAGAGAGAGAGAGAGAGAGAGAGAGAGAGAGAACACAGCAATTGAGCACATGGATTCCTGCTTATTTATTATCCTGTGTGTGTGTTTTCATGTGTGTGGAAGCCAGAGAAAATCTTGTGGAGTGATTCTTCTATCATTATATGGGTCAGGGGGTTGAACTCAGGTTTCTGGTCTTACCTGGCACTTTCACCCACTGAACCATCTCGCCAGCCCAAGTACATGGATCTGAAGCTTGATTTTGTGGGACTTGTATCCTGGCTCTGCCACTTTCTGCTTATATGCCCTCTCTGCCTCAGTTTCTCTAACTGTAAAATGGGGTGCTAATGGTATATTTTTTATGGAGATGTCTAAAGATTACTTGAAATATTTGTAAAATACTTCAAAATTGCCTGGGAAGAAAGGGGCTGCCTAAGACTCCACTTTCTTGTTTTTTAACCAACACAAATGGACAGTTTTTCACAAACACATGCCCAATGTCAGGTTCTCTGTGTCCACTGAGACTTTGGACACATGCCAAGCCCTTGGTCCTCTGCCTCCTGTGAGGCATCTTCTCTTGAGATTGTTCTTGTCTTCTTCCTCTGTTTTTTTTTTTTTTAAGTCACAGCAAGAACAGAGCAAGATACTGTTGGAGGTGAGATGAGCCCAGTAGTCCAGGAGCCTGCTAGACCTCACCAAAGGCAGGGGGCAGGAGATCAAAGCCAGTAGGACTCAGAACCTTCAAGAGAGGCCCGGAGTCCCAGGTGTCACATTGCTAGCTATGGCCTCGGTCCCAGGCTTTTGGCTTTGTGTTTATTGACAGGTTTAGAGTTGATAGCCTTGTCTTTTCCTGCCCTCACCATCAGAAAGCCGCCCTGTTGAGAGCTTGTCATCTGCCCGCAGTCTGCCCTGGGCCATCCTGGGAGGAATCAGGATGGGGGCTGCCCTCGTTCACAACAGGGCCCTTGTGCCTTTCCAGTCAGCCCCGCCCACCGGTCAGCAGAGGGTGGAGCTCCAGCCGGGAGTCAAGTGATACCGTCAGCACCGTCAAATACCAGTCGAAGCAGAGTCCAAGTTGGAAGAGTTACAACTGGAGTGTGGCCCAAGGAAGATAGAGTTGGGCTCTCAGTGTGTTCAGTGTGAAGGGCACCAAGGGGGTTAACACAGAGAGACTAACAGTGAACGGTGTGGCCAGTGTCTGAGACTCCGCGAAACTTAGAAACAAACTGGGTCTGCTGCCCCCTGCTGTCTGGGGCTGGGAGGTCTTGGCCACGATCCCTCTGAAACTATTGACCTTGGTGACGGGAAGGCCCCACCGACACTGTCTTTAGCAGTGTCACCCTCTAGAGATGGACATCTCAGAGCAGTCCATGGTCTAGCCTTCCACCTACCTGACTGTACTGAGTGCGCTAACTTCTCTAACTGGTCAGGATGAGTTTTGCCAATGTCCTCAGAAGTTCCCAGAGTGCACGGCAGAGCTGATAAAGATGGCTGTGTACAACTCCGGTTGTGAAGGCCAACCCAACCCAGACAGAGGTTCCACCCAAGAGAGGGAGGAAATCCAGCGGACACCATTTCGTGTGAGGTGGGAGACACCCCCCACCACCACCACACAGGCTCTGACACCAGTGACACTTGAGGAGGACCCAGGAGCCTGTCACCAAGCAGTATGGCTTCCTGGCAAGCCTCGGCTCTCGGTGACTTAGTGAAGAGATGCTCATTTGTCATAGTCTGGAGGCAGGCGCTTCAGCTCTAGTGTGGGGAGACTGGTTCTGGGAGGCCGGGGGAGCACTCTCGCCTCACCCTGCCTTTCCAGCTCGCTGGTGTTCCCTGTTCATGCCTCATACCTGCAGCATCCCGGACTCTTCCTCCACACAGAGTCTCTCCAGCTACAGACGGCTCCCATTTCCTCCTCTCCTCAGCACACCTGTCCCCCTGGACCCGCCTCTGCCACCGTGGGCCTCCGCTACGCTGTTGACCCTATCTCTACATAAGTCCACATTCTGAGGTGCTGGGCGGACTCCAATATCTGAATTTGGGGCCCAGTTTGAACTGTAATAGCGGTTTATCAGTTGGTCTTGGTAAGAGGGGTCTAAGTGAGAGTGAGCAAAAATGTCTAATTTCATAACTGCCCTTTCACCTTTCACCTTCCTCTGAGATCATTTCTGTGGCATGTCTGTGGGAGTTCCTTCAGTCTTTCTGTGATGAAAGCCCACACCCCAGTGTATCCTCTCTTTAAGAAAATGTATTCCAGCCGGGCGGTGGTGGTGCACCCCTTTAATCCCAGCACCTGGAAGGCAGAGGCAGGCGGATCTCTGTGGATTCAATGATAGCCTGGTCTACAGAGAGAGTTCCAGGACAGCCCAGGCTACATAGAGAAACCCTGTCTCATAGAGGGGAGGGAGGGAGGGAGGGGAGGGAGGGAGAGAGACAGAGACAGAGAGACAGAGACAGAGAGAGACAGACATAGAGACAGACAGAGAGGGAAAAAAAGAAAATGTATTCCATGCCATTAGCGTCCAAAGTCTGAAGCCCTGGCTGGGGACCGAGGGTCTTCTCTGTGGCACAGACTGAAGGAGCTGAGACAGCAAAGAGTGGGGCTGGGGATTTAGCTCAGTGGCAGAGCGCTTGCCTAGCAAGCGCAAGGCCCTGGGTTCGGTCCTCAGCTCTGGAAAGAGTTCACACTCAGGGTGGCCCCTCCTCCTCCCCTGGGTTTGGCTAGTCCCTCATTACATCATCTACCAAGCTTGCTGCTGCCCTGCTGCTCCTGCCCTGTTGCTATGGGGACCTTACATTCCTGGCCAGAGGTTCCAGGGCAGAGCCCAGCCTGGGAAGGGACCCGTGGGAAATGCTTGAAAGCTTCAGGATGTAGAAAGGAACACTTCCCCAAAAACAAAGGAGGTGAGAGAGAGCCTTGCCAGCATGTGGGTTTCACTTCCTGGTTGGACTCAGGCTGGCATGAAGGACGTCTGATGTCACAGCCTTGGAACTTTCTGTTTCTGAGCAGTATGCACCCAGGAGTGTCTAGTCAACAACGCTCTACATTATGTTTTCTATCCCACTACACTCTAAGCTTCCCTTAGCATGCCATCTTTTCTTGGGCTGTTTTCCTAGAGATGGATTCCTGGGACAGTTATCTTTGAGCTTTAGCACCAGTCTTTCCAAATGTACCAACATGTATTTCCCCACCACCTGGGCATCCGTTGTTGAGTTACACATGTCCTGGTTGGGTTTTTGTTTTTGTTTTTCAACTGGATGAAACACTGGTAAGAGGAGCTTCACTTGAGAAAATGCCTCCATCAGGCTGGCCTGTAGGCAAGTCTGTAGGAATCCTCTCGACTAATGATTGATGGAGGGGGGCCTGGCCCACTGAGTTGGTGCCACCCCTGGGCAGATGGACCTGATGGTGTAATTAGGCCGATGAGTCTGTGGAGAGCAAGCAGGTAAGTAAGCAGCACTCCTCTCCGGGCCATGCTTCAGTTCTTACTATCAGGTCCTACCCTGACTTCCCTTCAGGATGGACTAAAACTGTAAGCCGAAATGAACCCGTTCCTCTCCAAGCTGCTTTTGGTTGCTGTGGGATGATGCTCTTGTACACTGGTTTAATAAAACACCGATTGGCCAGTAGCCGGGCAGGAAGCGCAGGCGGAGCGAGCAGTGGAGGAGAATGCTGGGAAGAGGAAGAGCAGAGTCCAGAGTTGCCAGCCAGATGCGGAGGAAGCAAGATGTGAGAGCAGAACTGAGAAAAGGTACCAAGCCACGTGGCTAAACATAGATAAGAATTATGGGTTAATTTAGGGGTAAGAGTTAGTCAGTAATAAGCCTGAGCTAATGGCCAAGCAGTTATAATTAATATAAGCCTCTGAGTGATTATTTTGTAAGTGGCTGCGGGACTGTGGGGCCGGGCAGGACCAGAGAAAACTTCCGACTACATTTGGTCATATAATTTATTACAGGAATAGAAACCTAACTAGAACCACATATAGTAATGGACACATAATTTTCACACACCAGCATTAACCATAGTACATATAACTTTATGTATGCAATAACGATAGCTTTTGACGTATAGCAGAGCCTGGCATTTTGATCTTGGTGGTGTTTCCCTTTCAACTGCAGTCCTTTCTGGGAAGACCTTCTCACGGACAAGACTCCTCAGCGTGGGCTGCCTGCCCCCTCTCCAACACGTCAAGGCAATCAGTGGTCTGTGGCTCCAAGGTCACAGCCTGAAGTGAGGTCTGTGCCAGAGCATTGTTCTGTCCAGTGGGCGAGTGTTGGCTGAAGTTCCTGTCAGGCACACTGAGGGTGAGGCCCATCTGGACACTCAGACTTCTTCCAGCACAGAGACAATGTCTTCTGCTTATAAATATATACATCTGGGAGCTGCCTGGTAGCTTAGGTCCTGTGCCCATGTCCTGTGGCTCCAAACAACCCCATCTGTGAGGAACTTGTTCACTCCTGGCACACTGAAGAGGCATTTTAGAGTCGGTATTCACCAACCTGTGGTGGATACAACAGCAATCTGCCCTTGAGGAGCAGAATCACTCCTCGGGATGCGGAAGTCTATGTGTCTACGAGAAATACCTGGTCAAAGGAAGCACACTGACTGTTGGTGCCTGGCTGCCTGGCCCCTCATGTGGCAGTCCTCTCCACCATCTCCAGTAATCTCCACTGTCTCTCAGCACCCCCACTGTCCAAGCACCTCATGTCCCAGCAACCCCCACCCCTCAGCACCCCTCTGTCCCAGTGATGGGGGAATGTCTTTCTGTACACTGTGATTTTGTGCTGCTCTGATTGGTTGATAAATAAAGCCATTTGGCCTATGGCAAGGCAGCTTAGAGGCAGGCAGGAAAATCAAAGGGAGAGACAGGAAGAAGGCAGAGAGAGACTCCAGCAAGCCACCCAAGGAGCACATGTAATGGGACGCAGGTAAAGCCGCAGAACATGGGGCGATACATAGGTTGATAGTTATGGGCTAATTTTAAGATATAAGAGCTAGCTAGCAAAAGGCTTGAGCCATGGCCATGCAGTTCTAATTAATATAAGCCTCTGTGTGTTTACTTGGGGGATGCGAGTGGGAGAGATTTGTCCTGATCACCGGCAGGCTGGGACACAGGAAATCTTCCAGCTACATCCCAGCACCCCACTGTCCCAGCATCCCACTGTCCCAGCACCCCACTGTCTCAGTACCCCACTGTCTCAGCACCCCACTGTCCCAGCACCCCACTGTCTCAGCACCCACTGCCCCAGCACCCCACTATCTCAGCACCCCACTGTCTCAGCACCCCACCGTCCCAGCACCCCACCGTCCCACACCCCACTGTCCCAGCACCCCACTGTCTCAGCACCCCACTGTCTCACACCCCACTGTCCCAGCACCCCACTGTCTCAGCACCCCACTGTCTCAGCACCCCACCGTCCCACACACCACTGTCCCACACCCCACTGTCCCACACCCCACTGTCCCAGCACCCCACTGTCCCACACCCCACTGTCCCACACCCCACTGTCCCACACCCCACTGTCCCAACACCCCACTGTCCCAGCACCCCACTGTCCCAGCACCCAACTGTCTCAGCACCTCAACGGCAGGGGTTGATGTTCTCAAGTCATCTGAGCACATGCTTAGATAAGACACGTTGCGGTCATCAGCGTGGAGAGCTGTTCCTCATCAGGAACACAGTGTGCTTGCCTTTTCTTCCAGCTCCAGCTCCCAGGGAACAGTTCAGGCCAGGAATATCTACATGTCTTCTAGGAATATTGGTGTTCAGGTAAACCGAACATCTTCCTAATCATGGCGTCTGGCTCCAGGAGTACTCAGTCAGCGATTCCCACAGGGGCAGGGAAGCCAGGGGGTCAGCTGCTGCTGCTGTGTCTCTTCTTGGAACATGTGTCTGAAATCACCTCCTGTTTCTACTCAGGACCAGACAGAATTTCCAGATGACACCGTGAAAGAGACAAGATAATTTGTTCTGGACAAAAGAAATAATGAAGTAGATTTAATTACTTCTTAGAATGCTGCCTTACTCGGGTTTTGACTTGCCTTACTGTATCATGTCTTCTTTTTCTACTTCCCAGTTGAACTCTTTGAAAGAAATCTTTTATAAATGTTTTCTATAAAAATCTGTGCATCACTAGCTCTTAGGAACAAAGGGATAATCAGTATGCGAAAGACTGTGCATGCACGCAGGACGGACTGTCTTCAGCAGCCAGCAGCACTCTATACGAGGACGCTTAGCTGATGGCATCATCGTTGGTTATCGGTTTTGAGGCTTATGGAATGTGATGTTGCTTTTGAAAACCTGAGGCTCTGTTCTACAGCTCTTGTGACCCACGGCCACATGTGCTTGGGTTGGTGGCCCCTGGAAGGGTCCCTGAGCCCATAGTCCTCCAGTCCTCATCGTGTGGGAGCTGTTGGCTTTGGGAGGAGATGGAGTCCAGGTGAAGAGATGAGGTCAGTGAGAGAACTTCCTAGAGTGGGGTCCGCATCCGTGGTACTGAGTCCATGCTGGGAAGAGGAGACATACAGAGGGAGAAGGTTGAGGTAGGAAAGAATGTAAGCACTTGGAGAAGGTAGGAAGTCAGCAATGGAGGCGGGACCAGCTCGGAGCAGGCAGGCAGGACAAGCACAAGGGTTCTCCAGACGCCCTCCTTGTGCCTCATTTCTGAGGGGAGACGCTGTTCTGACCCCGGCGAGGTTTCTTCCTTGATGGACAGCAGCAGCACAGTCTGGTCACGGCGTTTCCTATCCTCCTTGCCCATGCCCTCAGGCCTCTGCGCTGGCTGTGGGTGGACTTGCCCTCTGCTGAGGCACCGTGGGAGCATGAACTGTCTTCTGTGTCCTCACTGATGCTGCTCTTGGAGTAGATGCAGGGAGCACTCCTGGCATGATGGTGGACCTGGTCCAGTGTGGGTGTCCTCTGGAGTGGCCTGCAGAGAGGAAGAGCCAGCCCGGTGGCATTTCTGGCCCCTCTTTGACCTGCCTGCTGGCCATAGGCAGACACCTGACCGTTAGAGGATGACCCTCTGAGCAATGCCCGAAGGGCGGGCTCACTTCCCCTCCTCCTTGGTGCCAGCGGGAAAGCACCAGGATCCTCTAGGGAAGGGAACGGTGTGGCCCCCGGATTCGTGGTCTGAGCACGTGTTGTGCGGCCAGACCCCTGGAGAGCCTGGCCTTGCAGTAAGCAATAGGATGCCATGGTCTGGTCGAATTTCCTCTGCTGAAATGAATCTTTGATATCCTGGGCTTGGAACCCAATATGTTCCATGGCTTTCACAATTGCAGGGTCAAGCAGGCTGGGGGCCATTTCTTCACAGTGATTTGGTAAAGCCTCCGTGTCTTTCCTGAGCCAGGGGTGTGCTTTCACTTCACCCACTGTTGGCCTAAGCCTGGGGTTGACCGTCATCAAGAGGCTAAGCAGGTCCTGGAGATCTTCTGACAGGCCCAAGGGGACGGTGTACTTCCCTGACACAACCTGCCTCCGCAGCTCCGGTATGTTGACAGCGCCAAATGGGACCTTACCGACTACCATGAAATATAAGACTACTCCCAAGGTCCATATGTCGACCTTGGGGCCATCGTAGAGTCTGCCGAGGAAGAGTTCAGGGGCACCAAAGGAGTAGGCGCCGCAGTGCCGGCTTAGCCTTTGCCCAGGCTTGACTTGGGTGCCGAGGCCGAAGTCGATGATTTTGACTTTTCCCTTCTCGTCCAGCATGATGTTGTCTGGTTTCAGGTCCCTGTGGATTATACCTTGGTCATGGCAATAGCTCACACCGGCTATTATTTGCCTGAAGATCCCCCGGGCTTCATGTTCCGGCAGGTGGCCAGCCTTTCGGACGTACTGATAAAGCTGTTGGCCCTCAGCCAGCTCCATGACGAGGTATGTTCTCTTCTCGGACTCGATCACTTGGATAAGTGAGATGATGTTGGGGTGGTTGGTTATCATCATTATCTCTACCTCAGACCTGATTGGCTGGCACCACTTCTTTTTCCGAAGTACCTTGACAGCCACGGGGGTACCCGTGAGGCGGTGGTGGGCCAGCTGGACCTTGGCATTGCTCCCGTGGCCGATGGTCCTCAGGATTCTGTATTGAGACTGGAAGCTTTCCTCTTCAAAGATGCTGGGTGCAGGGCTGGTGTCTGGGGACTCCTCCTCCTCACTGGGTGAAGGCATCGTAGCTAGAAATCGCTGCAAATGTTACCTAAAAAGAAACAAATAAAAGAAGAAAAGGAGAATGAAATATAGGATAGTAAAACCTAGAAAAATGAAATAAGAATAATGAAAAAGGTGTGAGAAAATAAAATCTAAAAGTCTCTACTTGGGATGTCCAGTGACCACGTGGCGCTGGGACTCAGGTAAGTACGGTTCATTCTAGTTCCTTCTGGTTCTCCATTTACATTTCCAGTCTCGGCCCCAGCTCTGTAGCAAACTGCTTGCCGATGCCTCTTTCCTCCCACTCTACCTCTTTCCCTGGGAACTCCACCAAACCTTGCTGTGGACCCAGCTTTGCCCCTTTGGTGAACCTTATCAGTCCCTGCCTCATACCCAGAAACACTTTCTACCTGGAACACTGCCACCATCACCACCAACCCTGCTCCTGTGCCTTCGTCTGGCAGGGATTCTGGCAGGTGAATCACATTATACTTCCCATTCTCCAGTATGGCCTCTCCATTCTCACAGCCTAGTAACAACATGCTGAGAGGTCTCCCCTCCCTCTGCCCCCCACGCCTCAACTCCATTCACTAGACCCAGAGTCTCCCATCCCTTCCATCCCTGTCTCTCCACATCGTTTTTTTTCATTACTGCAATCTATTTGCAGGAGCCCCCTTTCCTACCACGCCGACAACTCACTGGACACTCTGACTTTGTGTCCAGGATCCCCTTAGGTCTTTGCTGGAGCCCCTTTCAGCCTCCCCCATAGCCCACCTTCACTCTTCTCAAGGACCCACCCATCTGCAGCAGCACTCTCTACCAGGAAGCCCACAGCTGTCTCACATTCCCAAGATCTAGAGAGAGCCAGGAGCAGGAAGTCCACAGCTGCCATACATTCCCAAGATCTAGAGAGAGCCATAGAAACCAAGGAACAGAACCCACCCAACAACGATTAGACCACATACTGACACCTAGAACCACCCCAATCATCCTAAGCCCTGATGCCTAGACACCAGCCCCAACACACAAACACCAATAGCCAAGACTATATGCTTTCACCAGAACCCAGAAACCCTCCCACAATAGGCCCCTAGAAGTGTGATGCAGCTGAAACATAAGAACTTCAAAATAGCAATTATCCTTAAGGAGGATGTTAATAAATCCCTTAATGAAGCCCGTGAAACACAGAGGGATGAAATAATGAAAACAGTTCAATACATTAAAGTGCAAATAGAATCACTAAAGAAAACCCAAACTGAGATAAAACCAGAAATGAAAAATTTAAGAAGTCAAACGAAAACCTCAGAGGTAAGCTTCACCAACAGTTTACAAGACATGGAAGTGAGAATCTCAGGCATTGAAGACAAGGTGAAAGAAATGGATACCTCAGTCAAAGAAAATGTCTCAAAAAATCCAGGCACAAAACATCCAGGAAACCAGGGACACCACAAAATGACAAAAATCTATGGATAATAGGAATAGTGGAGAAGAAATCTAGGTCAAAGGCACACAAATTATCAACAAAATCATAGAAGAAAATGTCCCCAATATAAAGAAGGAAGAGCCTATAAAGGTACAAGAAGCACACAGAAAAACAAATAGAGAGTACCAGAAAAGAAATTTCCCAGAACACACTAAATGTGCAGAACAAATAGGAATATTTAAAGCTGCAAGAAGAAAAGACCAAGTAACACATAAAGGCAGACCCATCAGAATAACATCCAACTAGAGACTAAAAAAAAAATGGAGGGAACTCATATTAACAACTTAACAGCACACCTGAAAGCTCTAGATTCTAGAGTCTATAACAGAAGGAAGAATTAACATCCAAAGGAGCAGATGCAAGAGACAAACGCGGTGCTGAAATCAGTAAAGTAGAAACAAAACAACATAAAGAACCACTGAAATGAAGAGTTGGCTCTTTGAGAACATCAATAAGATTGATAAACTCTTAGCCAAGTCAATTAAAGGTGGAGAGAGAAGGTTCAAATGAGTAAAATTAGAGATGAAGAGTGGTGGGAATTGCTGCAGATACCAGGGATGTTCAGAGAATTAGGACATACTTTTAAAAATATGTGTTCCAGCCGGGCGTTGGTGGCGCACGCCTTTAATCCCAGCACTCGGGAGGCAGAGGCAGGCGGATCTCTGTGAGTTCGAGGCCAGCCTGGGCTACCAAGTGAGCTCCAGGAAAGGCGCAAAGCTACACAGAGAAACCCTGTCTCGAAAAAAACCAAAAAAAAAAAAAAATATGTGTTCCAAACTGGAAAAAACTAAAAGAAATGGGTACATTTCTTAACACATATAGCCTAACAACATTAAAGCAAGGTCAGATGAGCAATTTAAATGGACCTAATAACCCCTAGTGAAATAGAAGCAGGAATTAAGAGTCTCCCAAACAAAAACAGGCCAGGGTCAGATAAATTCAGTACAGAATTCTATCAGACTTTCAAAGAAGAATTAATGCCAACACCCCTCAACTTATCCCACAAAATAGAAACAGAAGGAACATTGCCTAATTCTTTTTACAAGGCCACAATAACTCTGATACCTAAACCACACAAAGACTCAACATAAAAAGAAAATTACAGACCAATTTCCCTTATGAACATATATATGCAAAAAACTCAATAAAATATTTACAAACCAAATCCAAGAATACATCAAAAAGATTATCCACCATGATCAAGTAGACTTCATCCCAGAGATGCAGGGATGGTTCAACACACATAAATCGATAAAAGTAATCTACCACAGGAACAGATTGAAAGACAAAAATCACATGATCATTTCAATAAATGTAGAAAAGGCCTTTGACAAAATCTAATACTCCTTCATGATAAAAGTCCTGGAGAGACTAGGGATACAAGGGACATACCTCAACACTATAAAGGCAGTTTACAGCATGCTAAATGGAGAGAAAAATCAAAGCATTCTCACTAAAACCAGGAACAAAACAAGATGTCCGCTATTTCTATACCTACTCAACGTATTACTAGGACACTTAGCTAGAGCAATAAGACAAATGAAGGAGATCAAGGGGATACAAAGAGGAAGAGAAGGAGTCAAAGTGTCTTATCTGCAGATAATATGATTTTATACATGAAAGATCCTAAAAATTCCATCAGGAAATTCCTACAGCTCATAAAATGCTTTCGGCAAAGTAGCAGGATACAAAATTATCGCACAAAAATCAGTTAGCCTTTCTATATACAAATAACAAACTGAGAAAGAAATCAGGAAAACACTACCTTTCACAATAGCCTCAAAAATATTATTGGGATAACTAACCAAGCAAGGAAAGACTTGTATAGTAAAAAATCCTTTAAGATAGCAAAGAAATTGAAAAAGATATCAGAAGATGGAAAGATCTCCCATGCTCATGGACCAGTAGGATTAATATAGTGAAAATGGCCAGCCTACCAAAAGCAATCTACAGATTCAACACATTCCCCATCAAAATTCCAACACAATTCTTCACAGAAATGGAAAGGATAATTTTCAGCTTCATCTGGAAACACACAAAAAAAAACTAGGATCACTAAAAATTCTGATTAACTAAAGAATTTCTGGAGGTATTACAATCCTTGATTTCAAGTTGTACTACAGAGTTATAATAGCATGGTATTGGCATAAAAAACAGGCACGTTGATCAATAGAACCAAATCAAAGACCCAGACATCAGTCCACATACCTACACATGATTTTTGACAAAGAAGCTAGAATTACATACTGGCAAAAAGACAGCATCTTCAAGAAATGGTGCTGATCAAACTGGATGGGCTGCATGTAGAAGAGTGCAAATAGATTTGTATTTACCACCCTTCACAAAACAACTCCAAATGATCAATGGACCTCAACACAAGGCCAAATACCCCGAATCTAATAGAAGAGAAAGGGGGATTAGTCTTGAACTCATTGGCCCAGGAAAAGACTTCTGAACAGAACACTGATAACACAGGCACTAGGACCAACAATTAATACGTGGGCCTCGTGTAACTGAAAAGCTTCTGCATTGCAAAGGATAGAATTAGGACATATGTAGCAGGCTACAGAACGGGGAAACACCTTTACACATCCAATAGAAAGTCAATATCTAAAATGTATAAATAACTGGACATTAAGAAAGCAAATAATTAAAGATGGGTTATGGAATTAAACAGAGTTCTCAAAAGACCAAACACAAACGGCTGAGAAACACTTAGAGAAATGTCATCAGGGAAATGAAAACCAAAACTACTTTGTGATTTCATCTTCAACCCATCAGAATGGCCCAAGATCAATGAGACAAATGACAGCTTATGCTGATGAGGATGTGGGGAACAGGGACACTTACCCATTGCTGATGGGAGTGCAAACTTGTACAGCCACTATGGACATTAGGTGATTCCTTGGGAAGCTGAAAACAGACATACCTCAAGACCCAGTTACGCCACTCTACGTCCTACTACAGAGAAGCCTGCTCAAACATGTTCGTTGGTGTTCTACTCATAAGTCAGAAATTATAAATATCCTGGATGTCTATCAGATGAATAGAAAATGAAAATGTGGTACATTTACACAATGGAATGTTATTCAGCTGTTCAAAAGACAAAATTATGAAAATTTCAGGTAAATGGATAGAACTAGAAAAAAAATAATCCTGAGTGAGGTAACCCAGACCTCAAAAGACAAATATAGTATTTGCGGATGTTTAGCTGCTGTTAAGCCTTTGGCAGGCATCCTACAATCCATGTAACCACAGAGGTTAGGTCTAGAGCAAGGGACTAGGAGGGAAGGGACGATCTTCCAAGGAAGGGGAAATAGAATATATAGTTACTGGAGAGACAGGGAAAGACTGGAACAAAAAGATTAAATGGGATGGGAGGAGGGGAGAGGTGGGCAAGGGAGGAAATCTGGAGATGGGAAAGCTAACACCAAGGGCCATTCAAGGATTGTATGGAAACCTACTGCTGTAGAGGATTCTTAAAATATAACATATATGAAAGAAATCTAAATGGAGTCACCAAACAATGGAGGAGCCAATACCTCAACTAGACATCTTGTGCCACCAAGTGAAACTCCCAGTGCCAGGAATGGGTTACATCCAACCGAGTTGTTGGCCAAACGGGCTCCATAGAAACCCCCAAACAGCTAAAGCTATTGCCAAAGGCCTTTGGTTGTCCTCCACAAACTGATGCTGAGGCCCCATTGCTGAAGACAGCACTTAGATATCTCATTGAACATGGAAAAGTCAAGCTGGTGCCTGACTAGAGCCTTCACCCCCTACTGACTGGTGCTCATGGTACTGGAAGGTTCTCTGCATGCTCTCAGGGGAGAAAGACAACCACCAATCCACCTACAAACTCTACAATCTGTAATGGCATCCTACTTTCCTGCATGACTTGCTGGTGCGATAGCGGCACAAACATCGTGGGAGCAGCCAATCGCTGTCTGGCTGGGTGTAAGGCTGGCTCCACAGGATGAAACCCAACACTGCGTGGGCAGTCAAGAACCTGAGACTGGATATATGGACTTAGGGGAAAACCAAATGCTGTTGTTTTGCTAAAAGAACATAACAATAAAAGGACTCCTAACAACATTCCGATCTATCAGTGCCTCGCTCAGCCATCATCGAAGAAACTTCTTGCAATAGATGGGAACTAATACAGAGACCCACAATCAGACAATGTGCAGAGAATGAGAATCCTAAATGGGGTGTCTTCAGCAAACCCTTCCCCTCAGAGCTCAGGGAAACATACGGAAGAGAAGGAGGAAAGATTGTTAGACCCAGAGAGGATGGAAGACACCAAGGAAACAGTGTCTTCCACACACAGCAGGACCGACACATATAAACTCAGAGACTGTGACAGCATGCACAGGGCTTGCACAGGCTCAAGCCAGATGTGGTCCCAGTGCTGAGAGGGGGAGTGGACACAAGCTCCCATCCCTAACCCAGAAGCTGTCTCCAACTGACCACTGCTTGCAAAGGAAAAGTTAGTTTCTACAATGGCATCTCACTGAGTATAGAAACCACACTTAAGCGCAGTAACCAATAATAGATGGGTAACACAAACAAACTCCATGGTGGTGGTGTAGATTTTCTGTCTCATAACTGGTTTTTTTTTTCAAATCTTATTGGTCTTTTGCTTGTATATTATGGTTTCCAATTGTGTGTGTGTGTGTGTGTGTGTGTGTGTGTGTGTGTGTGTGTGTGTGTGTTGAGTCTCTTTCTTGTGTTTTTAATGCTTTTTTTGCCTGTTTGTTTTCTAAAGAGAGAGAAGGCATAGAGTTGGATGGGTGGGGAGGTGGGGAGGTGGGGAGGTGGGCAGTACCTGGGAAGAGATGAGGGAGCAGAAACCATGATGATAATATATTGTATGAATTTTTAATAAAAAATGAAACTAAATCCCAACCAAACAACTAACCCAAATCCAGAAAACCAAAACTACACACATGAGATTCAGAAAATTCAACCCAAAATATGTCTCATAAGGCAGTATTATGAGTGAAAGCTGAGAAGAGAAAGTCACTTATAAATAACAATTAGAGCAAAAAAAGAGAAAAGAATTAGTGTAACCCAAGCAACACAAAGCAAACACATAAAGCCCTCAAACTCCAAACTATAACTGAGTTTAATAAACAACTAGACATCACAGTCCACCCCAGAAAGCCAACAGTCTCAAAAACAAGTACAAGCAGTAATAAACAGTAAGACAATAAAAACCCCACAGATAAGCAAACCCCCAAACTAAAGCAAAACAAAAAGTAAAACCATGGAACCAAAAGTGGTACAAATCCAAATATGTATAAATTATACAATCAAAATAATAATTAATAATAAATAAAAATGGGACAGCAAAATAGCAAAGAAGAGTTAGAACGAAAATTTTAAATGTAAAAATAATTAATCAAAAACAATAAGAACCCCAAAGAAAATTCTAAACAAAACCCCAAAGAAACCCTGAAACCCCAAACCAGCCAAACAAACAAACTAAAAACAAAAATAAAAAAGCCAAACATAAAAATCCGCATGCCAGAACTGGAGAGATTGGTTATAAGGTTAAGGTTATAAGAGCACTGGCTGCTCTTCCTAAGCACCCATATTCGATGCCCAGCACCCACAGGCCAGCTTACAGTCATCTGTAACTCCAGTCCCAAAGGGTCCCATTCCCTCCTAGGGTACTAGGCACACATGTGGTGCATAGATATACAGACAAAACATTCATTCACATTAAAAACAAACAAACAAAAAACAACCAACCAACCAAAAACCATGCAACAGTGGCTTGGGGGAGATAGTTCAGAAGGAAAAAGGTGACCATGCAAGAATAGGACCGAATTCAGTCTCTTGAACTCACATTTAAAAAGCCAGATCAGTCACACAGGCTCTTACTCTGAGATTGTGGAATTGGCACAGAAGATCCCTGGCAGTCACTGGCCAGTCTAGACACTTGACCAGCTCCAGGCCAGTGAGGAATCCTGCCTCAAAAGAAATAAGGTGGATGGCCTTAAAAACAACAGCTGGGCTGACTTCTGGTCTCCACACTCTTCTGCACAGAGGTACACCTAACACACACACACACATACACACACACACACACACACACACACACACACACACAGAGAGAGAGAGAGAGAGAGAGAGAGAGAGAGAGAGGGAGACACACACACACACACACACACACACACACATATGAGCAAACCTGTAAATACACACCCTCCTACACACACTGACACATGCACACATATATAGCACACATATAAGCAAACAAAAAAGTCACAGCCTCACTAGATACAATCAAGTCGCACAGGGCACCACTCCACGGCTCCTCTCAAGTCACCCAAGGAAATCCAGGCCGGGCCACAGTGTAACATCTGCTGGCTGGACCTGTCACAAATGCTCCTCGTGAGGTCATAGCAGGACCTGCCCTGGCATGGCTGGGCAGGACTCAGAGGCTCTGGCTCAGGTGGGCCATGGAGACCGGCATTGGGCTTTTAGAAATCAGGGCCCGTAGGAAGCTGTGACGTCCTTGGGTTTCTGGTTTCAACGTCTGCTGTGCCTCCCGCTCTTCCGTCCTCACGTCTGCACTCACCGCGGCACCTTTTTGACTTCTGACTGATGGGTCCAAGACGATGCCACAGCTTAACATTTCAGACAAAGCTCCATCCCTAAACTGACCCAGCAGGGAAGGACACTGTTCTCACAATTCCCCAGAAGACCTCTAGGTTCCCATCAAAAACCTGCGACAGGGCTCCTAGAACACGTGAAGCACTCGCCTCCCGAGTGTGCGGACTGGAGTTTGACTCCCAGGAACCCACATCAAAGCTGGGTGCAGCAGCACAAATCCATAAGCTTGGCATCCCTGGGGTGGGGATGAGGGGTGGAGAGGAGAGTCCTGGAAACCTGTGGGACAGGTGGTCTGGTGTGCAGTGTCCATAGGAGATCTTGCCTCACTGGGAAAAAAACGAGGACCAGTTCCTAGGGTGACCCCTGACAGCACATGTCCATAGGGGTATGTGTGCACACTCAGGCACTTAAGTGGGTATGTACACACATGCAAACACATACACACCCTCTCACACACACACTTCACAGAGGTTGGCAGGATGTATAGAAAACATGACCTCAGTCCATGTGGTGTGCAAGGCTCACTTTGGTGAGCAAAGGTCCAAAGGTGGAACAGACATGTGTAAGGACCAGGTGCTCTGTGCACACTGTGACCAGGAGGAACAGGACAGCTGTGCTGACACAGATGATATAGACTGTGAACCACAGTCAGGCCACATGACCCAGGGTGCTGTGTCCTTCCTGAACACCCAATGCAGCCGGACGCTATCTATTAAGTACTGACAGGATCAAGCCCTGGAAAAGCCTCTGCTTTTCAGAAGTGCTGTATGCAGTGCTGTGTCTACTGCTCTCCTGCTGAGGACTCTCTTCTGGGGATTTGAGTCACTCTGTAGAGGAGCTACCTGTCTGCAGACACTAAACCTGGGAGGAAAGAGCCTCATCCTTGGGGTTCGTTGCCAGGTCTGAGAGCAGAAAAGCAAAGAAACAAAAGCCTGCCACCTCTGGCCATTGTGGCTCAGCCTCTGACTTTGCAGCTGAGCTCCAAGTGCCCCGGAGTCCACACCAGCCTGAGTCGGTGACCTCAAGTTCAAGGCCCTGCTTCCTGGTTTGTAGCATCCATCACAGGACAGTTTCAGGCCAGGGGAGCTGTGGACACCATCTAGGTCTTGCTGTCACCATTTGAAGAGGACAGTTGAGCCTCAGAGAAAGCAAGGGCTGCAAGGTCATGGGCAGTAGTGACAAGCAGTGGGCTGAGTCCTAAGTCACTGCCCCTCAGTCCAAGGGATGCTAATCCTTAGCTGACTCCAGACTCTCTGTTCCTCCAGCTCTCCAGGCTCTCCAGTGCACTAGCTCTCTCTCAGCGCTTTACTTCTCAGGAAAGCTCTCTTTAGGGTATCCCACACAACTCAGTTCTCATTCATGAAGGAAACGAGCCTCCTAAACACTGGAGAGGCCTGGAGGATGAGAACCACCCCAGGGCCTCAGTGCACTGCTGGTGGCATGGAGGAACCTGTCCTGAGCAGGGGGCAGGCCTGGGATTTGATGCTTGTTGTGTGTAGGTGACAGAAACAGAGGGTCCCACTGGAGCCCCAGTGTAGACCTGCCCAGGGATGATGTAGAGGGCCTCACACAAGCCCTGTGTTCCGTGTGTCCACAGCTTTGTCTGCCACCCTCAGCTGTGTGCCATTTCCCATCCCTCCTCTGTCTAGTGTTGTGTGATATTTTGTGTTTCTGACAAATAAAGCTTGCCTGGAGATCAAAGGGTGGAGCTAGCTACTAGTTAACCATAGAGGCCAGGGGGTGGTGGCACACACCTTTAATCCTAGAACTTGGGAGGCACATGCCTTTAATCCCAGCACTTGGGAGGCTCATGCCTTTAATATCAGCACTTGGGAGGCTCACACCTTTGATACCAGCACCTGGGAGGCTCACACCTTTGATACCAGCACTTGGAAGGTTCATGCCTTTAATTCCAGCACTTGGGAGGCTCATGCTTTTAATCCCAGCACTTGGGAGACTTACACCTTTGATACCAGCACCTGGGAGGCTCACACCTTTTATATCAGCACCTGAGAGGCCCACACCTTTGATACCAGCACAATTGGGAGGTGGAGACAGGCTCTCAGGCCCCCATTTGGTCTGAGGATTCATAGAGGTAAGACGTCTCTAGTGGCTGTTGCTCTGCTTCTCTGATCTCTGAGGTTATTATTACCCCAATATCTGACTCCTGGTTTTAATTGATAAGACTAATTAGGATCACACTTCAGTCTAGAGAACCTGGGAGTGACTCTATATGTCTCCCTAAAAAAGCAGGTCAACCAGGAGCTGCATAAGGACGTGGGCTGGAAGAAGCAGGGTGAGTAGGGGCTCTGTGGAGAAAGGAACATGGTTAACAGCTCAGAGGGTCACAGTCCCAGGGCCCATGCCAGGATGCTTGCCTGGCCCCCATCACAGAAGCCTTTATCCAGGTATGGAGAGAACACTTCTCCAAACAGCGGTGCAGAGTATCCCTGGTTCAGGAAATCAAAGGACTGACACCCATTAATGGGGTACAGGAGGCACTTGCATTGTAGAGGGTGGCTGAGCTGGCTGAATACGGCCAGAGAAGGGCTCATCTGCCTGGGTCCATGTGCATCAAGACATAAGCCCTGTGTTGGTTTGTGGCTGCTTATCAGCTGATATGGGAAGGTGGGAGGGGCTTGTTATCAGCTGATGTGGGAAGGTGGGAGGGGCTTGTCCTAGGACCATGGGGCAGCAGGTTGTCCTTCCCTGCTTCTGCTTTATGAGCTTCTCTTTACCTTGGAAAGAAAGGAAGGCCTGGAAGAAGTCTATCTATGGATAGGTACAGAGGCTAGCTGGGAAACCGCTCCTGCTCTCCATTCTCATCCTGCTGGGGCTTTGGGGCTGTGGGCAGGGACATTTTGGTTGTTTCTCTCCATTTAATCCTGTCATCTCATTGGCTCAGGGTCCTGTGAGTAGAAATCCTGGCTGCAGCTGCTTGTCCTGAGCATGTGTCCCTCTGTGAGAGGATTCTAGACTGTTCTGTAAAGTATCCACAGTACATGGCGTTTGTCGAACATTTGATTTTTAATTTTGTTAGGTAATATTATTTCCTTCTTGGGTCTCTGAGGGATTTGAAGATTAGATAGTTATAGTTGAAGATTAGTTAGTTATAGTTGAAGACTAGTTAGGCTAGAAAGTGAATTAGGTACATTTTGGACTTACCAATATAGGATAGATAATGGAATTATTTTCTCTGAATTTGTCAAATACAAATGGACTAGACATCGTTTAGGTATTTATTACTTGTATATATTGTATATAGTTATTGTACTTTTGTATATAGTTTTTCTTATGTTAGTTATAACCTTTTTCCTTTTTTCTTTTTATTAAAATAGAAAAGGGGAAATATGGTGATATTTTATTTGTACTGAAATGTGATTTTATTTGTATGTTAATAAATAAAAATGCCTGTCAACCACTGGCATTCACTAGCATTAAAGAGGATGCTATTGCATTAGAATTTGTGGCATTTACACTTCATATGAAATCAATCATCATGCTCAGATTTAATCATTTATATTTACATACTTCACAACTTTTGCTATTCACTGTGCTGAGAAGTGGAAGTTTTACTTCATTTCTTTAAAGGGAGAGACAGCTCAGCCCTGGAGACTCCCCTGGCTTGATGGGAGGGCTGGCAGCTGTGTGTGTTTTCAGGGAAGGCTCTCTCACAGGCTGCCTCCCTGAGTTCTAATTGTGTGGAAGGCTCTGCGCTTCTGACCTCACACATTAATGGGAACCACTGCTTCTCTCCTAGGACCTTGGCACCCTTCCTGGAAGCATGTCTAATGTTCCCTCACCAGCTTCCTGGCTTTTCAAGCATCACACATGAGTTTCATGCTCTTGAGAATTGGGGCCAGGAGCCTCTAGACTGTCTGCTTGATCTGAGAGATGCTATTTACAGAGTGGTGTGACGTCATGCTACTGAGGGACTTGTTGCCTCTCTGCCCATGAGGCTGTGAATAGCGTCACACCCTTACCCACAGGTTCCTGCTGTGTTACCCCAGGAACATAACACTTTCTTCTCCAAGGGTTGGTTCATTATCTCCCCTGAAACTGGCTGTTTCCCAAGGATTACCTGCACTTGCATATGGTAGCTACCCCATTCTGAGTTCTGAGAACCCTCCAAAGCCCACCCATGGCAGAGCTGTGAGTTCAGTGCAGTGGGTCTGAGTGTCCCATCCTAGCTCGGCAGTTCACTCTCCTGAGGCCTCCCCTCCCCCTACAGGATTTTCCCAGGAGGCACTGGATGCACAGGAGAATTATATGCGCTGATTCCCAGTGTATCAGCACATTTGGGCAGCAGCGTCCTGTGGGGCAGAGGTTTTTAAATTCACAGACCTGCCACTGCCAAGTTGGTGTTTAAGCCCAGGTCAGTCCTGACCTGAGTTGTAGCGTGGGGACCCAGGACAGTTAGTTGTCTTCACAGATCTGCTTCGTGTGGACCCAGCACCCCCACCTTCATTTCACCAGGCAGAGAGTACAGCAAAGGACCAGGCAGGCAGAGACCCCTCAGG